AATTATCACGCTAACCTATAAGACTCTCTTCTATCTATTCCCTCCTCTCAGACCTCGTTTTCTATCATTCACTCCAGCCTCACCCTATGGACACCATTGGCATCTTACTTCCCCTGTTCCTATAAAAAATTTCATGTAGCTGGGCACGGTGGTGGACTCCAAAAGCTTAGGAGGCCAAGGCAGAAGGATCTCAGGTTCAAAGCCAGCCTCAGCAAATTAGTGAGGTCCTAAGCAACTTAGCAAGACCACCATCTAAAAAAATAACAATAAAAATAAAAAGGGCTGGAGATGTTGCTCAGTAGTTAAGTTCCCTGATACAAAAAAAAAAAAAAAAGTTTATTGCTTTCTCTTCCTGAAATAATCATCCCCCTATAATCCACAAGTGTGACTCACCATGTTCTTATTCAAATGTCAAGATCTCAGTGAAGATATCCTGGACTTTCCTAACCATAGAATTTAAATTTACAACTCCCCTGTGTACATACCTGCCCCCACACATACACATTATTATTTTTTTCTTTGGGTTTATTTTCCTCCAATTTACTTATACCTTTGTGTACTACATCTCTCCTGACTAGAATGTGTTCCGTAAGAACAGAGTTTGGCGACACTTTTATTTATTGCTAAATTCTCCATACCTGGTTAAGCTTGGTATAGAGTAATGTTCAGAAAGTACTTATTAAATAATAAATATCAGGCATTTTTCCTGATCTGTGGTATATATTAATTGTGTGATCAATGGCAGACTTGATTATTTTTGTTTTACATTAAATAGGAAGTAAATACATTTAGAGAAAATATTAATCACAATAACAATAACAACCAGAATAACTGCCATGAATTTCCAGGATATTATTTTGTTTTTTATTTGCAACATTGTTAATATGTGGTGATCTTTCTACCTCTGCACTATTTCTGTAAATGGGTTTTACAAATGAGAGAAGCCTATGAAGGATCTGTACAAAATGCCTTCTCATTGATGCTGTGTGACAGGAAAGTTTCAGAGGCCTCCTTATGTTTTTTTTTATTATTATTATTTGTTCTAATTAGTAATACAAGACAGTAGAATGCATTTTGACTCAACATACACAAATGGAGCCCCACTCCACGGTTTATAACCAAAGGACTTAAAATCAAAATACTATAGTGATGCAACCATATCAATGTTTATAGCAGCTCAATTCACAATAGCTAAATTATGGAACCAACCTAAGTGCCCTTTAACAAATGAATGGGTAAAGAAGATGTATATACACAATGGAATTTTACTCAGCCTTACATAATGAAATTATGGCATTTGCCGGTAAATGAAGGGACCTGGAAAATATCATGTTAAGTGAAATAAGCTAATCCCAAAGAACCAAAGGATGAATGTTTTCTCTGATAATGGTGGGATGCTCCCTATGTTTTTGCTTATAGAAGAAAAATTTTCCATGTCTTCTGCTTTATACAATCATTTTACTATGTGTTTCTTTCTGAGTCACATTCTCGGCCTCTCTACTTTTAGCTCTTGGCCCATCTCCTCCCACTGGGGGGACGGGGGACATGGTCCATGAACTACTATAGAGCCATTGCACTTCACGACTTGTCCACATGATGACATTCCCCACATTTCTGTGGTTACTTCACATATTGGAACCAAGTCCTCAGCTTTGTCAAACCTCTGGGTTTTCTTCCTTCCTTTGCACATACAGTGCTTTGGATCTGTAGCTTAACTAATGAATAGTTATGGAATTAGCAAAATGCTAGTGAAGGCAATGGAGAATTTGTAGAAACAAAAGAAGAAAGAGAAAGAGGAAGACAAATACAAAGATAATATAAATGTTGAGCATTTATCATACACCATGAAGGAAACAGAATATGGTGATAAAAAACATGGTCTTGAAATCACAATGTCTTGGTATAGAAACCAACTGCATCACTTACTGTGTGGCCCTGAGCAAATCACTTCAAATTCCAGGGCTCACCTTTGCTCTATTTTATTAAAACTCATTGCAGTGTCTTCATTAGAGGGATATCATGAAAATATAACAAAGCATCATAAGCAATTAGCACAGTGCCTAGCACATGGTCTGTGACCCATAAATGATGACTATTATTGCTGCCCTCAAAATCATTGCATTTGCTAATCAATTTATGTATCACAACCACCTTGGAGTTAGGTATGTTTATTATCCCCATTTTACAGTTGAGGGCACAGAACCACAGTGATAAGTACTCAAGGTAACATACTGTGCACAAGATAGAACTATTATTTACCTTCAAATATTGTTCTCTTTCCACTATTCAAATGGTTAATAGGGCTGAGGAGGTAGCTCAATGGTGGTATGCTTGCCTAGCATGGTCAAGGCCTTAATTCAATCCCTAGCACTGAAAAAACAAATCCAATGTTTAATGGCTTGTGTCAAATAAGTAATACTGTCATCATTTCCCACTGAAAATTTCTCCTTTTTTATTTTATGGAAATTTCATTGCTTCACATTTTTATATTAATGCATCAAAATACCTGTTATGTTTTAATAAGAGACAAATAAAAGATACTTAAATCCAAGGCAGAACAGTAGTTCTTCATTGTAGGTCATAATTAATAATTAATACAGATCATGGCAGAGTTAATATGGTTATGCCAATCATAGTCATGACTTTGAGAAGATTTTTCCTGTCATGTCTCACTTTAATGATTCTCTTTATTGGCTTAACACAGAAAACAAGACAAAACCAATCAACCAATCAAGAAACAAAATAACACGTCAGATAAGTGTGCAAAAATATTTTTATTTTATCTGTCAGCAAGTATTGATAAACATTCTTGGTTTCATTTTATGTTCAGTTTCCCAAAGATAAGATGGAGGTAAAATTAAAATGATAATTGTTGCCAATTATATTTATGCACATGTATTATCATCTCAAATGCAAAAAAAAAGAAAAAAAGAAACACCCTTGAAAATAATCTCCATTGAAAATCTAAAGCTCTAAGAGGCTAAATAACATTCCACCATCCTCATGGCTCATGTAGCTAGTGACCAAGGTGAGTTTCAAGCCTCCAAACTCAGATCCACTGTAGGAGGCACTTTTTAGAGAGCTGCTATTCTTAGGGCCCGTCAGATTTTAGCAAAAGCAAGTGGGCTTGTTGGGCCTACATTTCCTCATTCATAAATGAAGGCAAAACATGGTGATTAGTCTCATCCAGTCCCTTCCATTTCCATGCTAATGTATTTTTTAGATCTCAAATGTCACTGGGAACCACCCATTATCCTATAAATGTCTAGTTCATTCATGTAAGAAGTTGTGTTGTCTCCTTTTCAGCATGATATTTCTGGTCAGTCAATGCAGCGGAGGATTACAGGGAATGAACTACTCACCTCCATAGTTATATTTGACTAATTTCCTTTTGCTGGGGAGAATTGGAGAAGGAGTTCCCTGAATTGTCTTTAGCTTTGTGGTGAACTGCTCATTTGAAACCACAGGGTGCTCCTTGAGAAACTGCAGACTTGCATCTGATAACCATCTTATGGGAATGTCCCTTCAGTTGTGGTTCCCCAGGATGTGTGACATGCCTCCAGCAGAGGAAAGCGCCTCAGGGTCTGCGCCAGAGGCCTCTGACTGCACCACTGGGCACTGGCTGATTTCGGCCTATTTGCTGTGTAAGTGGACTACACTTTCATTTGAATCCTTGGTGTTTCAGTGAAATTCCCATGTGATCAAATGGAAGTGCAGTTGCCAAAAAAGTAAAGTGGACTGAGAGAATGAGAATGAGATTCTAGCATTTTAAAAACATACCAGCAAGCTTTCCCACCAGCACAGCCTTTTTAATTTTTTATATTTGGGGAGGAGTATTATCTTAGCAGAGTGTCATCATCTCCTAGCACTAGATTCTTGTTTTCTGTCCAATTCAGACAAGGAGGGAAGTCAAGTCAGAATAAAAGAAGGGACAGAAAATGAAATAATAGTTGTCAAAGCCCAGAAATATAGTATGTACTTAAAAATATCGACCATCTTTTAGAGGCAATATGAACTGGTAAAGAACCTTAACTCTGGGGCAGGATTGCCTAGTTCAAATCACAGCTCTGTCTGTTACATGCCCCAGGAATGGGGGCAAATTGTTTCACTTCTGTGCTTGTTTTTGCATCCATAAAATGGGAATTATAACAGAACTATCTAAGGTTCTTGTCAAGAGTACAGAGGCCTCTGAGATTATGAAACCTTTATGACTTCCCTGGTAGCACTTTACCTTTCATGCTCGAAGCTCCCAGAAGACCTGAAATTCTTACACAGGAAGCAAGAGATGTTTTTAATTTTCTGTTTGTTGAGGGCTTATGCTGTGACAAGTAACATGTTGGGTCCTAAGAAATGAGGGTTAAACAAATAATACACCTTTACCTTTCTAACATGTACACAAACAATAACTAATGCAAGTCTGGTGCTTTTATAGAAGAAGCATATTTGTAAAAGGATATATTCTTCTTAATAGAAGAAATAATATATGAGTTCTATCTGAAAGAAAGATTTGGGATTGTGTATTTCAGACAGAGAAACAGCACTTACAAGACAGAGAAAGGAAAGTACACGATGTCTTTGGGAACATTTTTGCAAAAACAGCCTCATCTTTAGTTGGTCATGGGCATGACAATCTCATCCATTATATTTAAAATGTCCTAATGGCAGAGAGCATTTCATCGCTGTCCTCTCTGAGCAGAATGGCTTATGATGACACAAGTACAAGAAATGTTTAGTGAAATGGTTTCAAATGAAAATGTGATTAAGATAATGGGATTTCAGAGGACAGAGTGATTTGTTCCATTGAAGGGGCTTCATGGGGAGTAAAAATGGACTAGTAAAAAAGGTTTTATATATATAACATAGATATTAAGGAGTCAAATTGGAGCAAGGTGTATGAGCAAATATACTTTTAAACCAGTGGAGGTGTCTTTTAGCTTCCAGGGCACAAGATATGAGTTGACACCATGGTTCTGTTTTATTCATCTTCTCATTGACAGATCACCTTCCCCTCTCTTTAAAGAGATCTAGGAGGGACGTTGATTACATGACCTATTCCCTGTATAGAAGGATGGGCACAAGATTCATATTGAACAATGAAGGTAAGACATCTATCTGGCTTCACTCATTTGTCCTGAGAAAGGCAAATGACCTAATGAGACCAAATCAGAATAATTTCTAAGCCTGTGTTTGTTCTGGGAGACAAATTATCTTTTGGATCCATGATTTTGGTTCATGGACTATGTTGGTCTCCCACCAAATAGGAAAAATCTGCCAAATAATGAAGACAATAACCAGGTAACAGGAGGTTCTACAAAAATGATGTGAGATCCTATCTGCAAAATTTCACAACTTTACAGTAACATTAAGTCATAATTCCTCCTCTCCCTCTTCCACACCTCTTCCCTTCCCTCTTTCATTTTCTTCCATTGGTTTGAATTTTGATTTTATTTCTGTACTTTTAACTAGAAGAATCCTTACTAATACAAGATGAATAGTATGGATTAAGAAACAAACATTTTGGTAACTATTATCTCAGAATCAGAGGTTCAGGTAACATATGGAAGTAAATTCTTGCAGCTTTGACCCTAAAGGCAATTGAGCAAAAAAGTTAGGAAGCCAAAATTGAACTCACCACGAATAACTGATTAGTTAATGAGGTAGTATTGCCTCCAGTCTATTAAAAATATGGCTTCACATCAGGACTTGGAAGTCTTGCCACACAAGCAACAAATTCCAGAGCATGATATGTAATCTTCATCTTTAGTGACCACCTACTATTCTCAATAATTTTTATTTATTCGTCACTGAGTCATTAATTTATTATTAGGACATTCATTCAACAAATGAGCACATGATCCACTTGAAGGTTGCAAGAGAGTCTGGGCACATTCTAGAGAGTGGCAGAGCAAACTGTTGCATACTACATGTTGGAAAATTTTCTCTTCAGTTCCCTGAAGTCCCTTGAAGCACACCCTGAGCCAATTTGTCTGCCAGCTACTATTTAAACAATTGTTGTGTAATTCTTCCACACTTTATTGAGGCCACAACACTCTTCAGATTGTCAAAGAATTTCCACCAATTTCCAATTGCCTTCTGATCTTTGCCATTTTTTTTTTCTCAATCCTATACTTTAAAAGAAAGGTCAAATACAACTTCATGTTCTCTTAGCTACTATATAATACAGCTATCATTATCTCTTACACATCTGTGTCAACCACAATAACCTTAAAAAGTTCCATAGAGTACAATATATTGGAGTAAACAAAGTTGACATTGCAGAATGTCCTTAATTTCTGTCTACAGGGTAGGCGATTTTTGCTGAGACCATTTCCAATGTGATTCACGAAAGCTCATTGTTTCAGCTAACTCTGGCTGAGAGCACAAAGGAATAAAATATAATTAAACAAATAAAATATACATACAGTCTTTCCTATTCCTAGCCGAGTCCCAGAAAGACAGCAGAATGAATCTGGCATAACTTTCCTATGCTCGTATATGAATACACAACCAGTGTAACTCCACATAGTGTTCAACCACAACAATGGGATCAAGACTGTAATGGGTTGCACCCCACGTATGTATAATATGTCAAAATACACCCTACTGTCATGTATACCTAAAAAAGACAACAAAAAAGGTAGTACAAAATTACCCCTCACTAGATATATACTAGTTATACTGCCATCAATATTGTTCCATAGTACTTGTTACTTCTATACTCCTTAGTTAATTCTTTAATTTTAAATTTTACTTCAAAGTATTTGACAGTGAAATAACATTCTTTAATTTTTTGTATTTTGACTGTCTTTATCATTGGTCCAGTTGATCATTTTTTTGTACCATAGGCCATTAGAACTTTTTTTATGATAAATTTCCTCTCATGTAATTTAGGATTCTTCTACTATATCTCAGAACTATTTATTTTTAATATAATCCTTTTGTTAAATATATTGCAAATATCTTCTTCCAGTCTGTCAGGTTCATTTATGAATGTTTTGTCTTGAAGTACTTCCTCAGTGTTGCACTTTAATGGGGTCAAGTTCCATATCACTGTCCTATATGATCTTTGCAATTTGGTGTTTCATTAAAAAGACCACCTCTTCTCCAAAGACATAATCAAATCTTTCTAGTATTATTTTTTATACTTTTTTATTATTGAGTTTCAATAAAAAGCAAGTTGCAGAATAAATAAAAAAGAACATACTGTAATGTGCTGTAACATTATGCATAAATAACAATATTGGCAAATAGCTCTTAACTAAGCAATGATATATGGAGGGGTCCTCTATGCCTGGGACACTCAGTGCAGTAGTACCTCCATCACAGGTTTCACTATGTATTTCAGAACCGTGCTCCTTTACCAACCCAGCTGAGGTTCCAGCAGGCCCAGATGTAAGGTGGTCCACAGGGATTGTCCCTTCTGAGGAGCAGGCAGTTGGCAGCATCCATGTGGCCCCATCTCTGCTATCCAGCAAGTGTTTAAGCCATGGGAGCATGGCTACCTCTGCCTGGATTTCAAAGAATAAAGTTGCTCTCTGAGCCATGAAAGAGGGGAGGGAAATCATCATACACAAGGCATTGCTAAAGTTTCCACTTCAATTATTTTAAATACTTTAAAAATGTTAAAATATCCTTTATATTTACATTAATCTCAAAATTTCTTGAGATCTTTATAACTTTTTATGTACCCAAGTTTTGATCTGGTATCAAATTAATTTAACCTAATGAAATTATTTTAGTATTTCTTTTAGTGGTAGTTACTGACATTAGTTCTGTCAGAATCAATGTGTTTTTAAAATATATTTTTACATAATGGTATAGGCTTTTAATTTTTTTCTGGCACTTTAAAGATGTCATTCCATTGCCTTTTGGCTTTCATAAGTTAAGTCGGCTGTAGTTCTTCTATCTGCTTCTTTGTATTTATTGTTTTTTCTATTTAGCAACCCCCAAACTTTTCTCTTTATCTTTAATTATCCTGTTCAATATCATCTTTTAGATCTATGATTTGATGTATTCTATTTTCTTTTGGAAAATATTTCTTTCTCCTGTTTTCTTTTCCTTCTTCATGAATTCCAACTTATGTTTGCTAGACCTTTTGAAATTTTCATACTGGTCTCATTCATAAACTCTATTCTTTCTTGTTTAATTGTTTGTCATTATGCTTCAGTTTAGATAATTTCTACTGGTTTATCTCCACATTCAATGATTCTTCCCCCATCATACTGAGCTCATGAATGAGCTCATAAGAAGAATTTTTCATCTCTAATGCTTTGCTTATTTTTGTTGTTTTGCTTCCTGGAATTTTCATTTGACACATGATTAGTGTTTCCATGCATGTCTTTGTTGCTATTTATTATTTGTCTATGCATATCCTTCATCTTTTTCTCTAGAAACCTGAATATATTAATCATTGTTAATTTAGATAGTTTTTGGATAGCTTCAACAGATAGATTATCACTGAACATGGTCTTATTAATTGCTTTTTTTTCATGAGTTTTTTTCCTTGCATTATTTTATAGCTTTAAATTTCTGAATGAATGCAGTAATTTATGTGTAGAATATTATAGACTCAAATAAATAGTACTATCTGTATCTCTTTTAATTTTACTTCCCAATGTTGAATTTTCATAATTTGTTAAAATTTTCTAGTTGAATTCTCCTTACACACTGAAACCATGCTCAGCTCATTTCATCCCAAACATCACCACTAGTAAACACATTTCTGTTTCCCTTCTCCGTGTAGAAAGACTTACCTTCCCTTGGATTCAATTTGCATGGCTGACTTGTTTAGGCTTCACCGTATTGAAGAACAGTCATGATTTTGTATTTCATCCAGCTCTTATTATTTGTTGAGGTAAGCCAATGTTCTTTCCAGTTTCCTACTGCTTTGGTAGAAATGAAACTCTATTACCTATTTTTTAAAACAAATATTTCTGGAGAACCGATAGTATTTCAACAACTACTCTATGTGCTAGAGGAACAAGTCGAAAAAATCCAGTTCTTAAATTTGAGAAAGTCACAGTTTGGAGAAACAGACATGTTTTGTATCTTAATTCAACTTAGTAAATGCTATTAAGGAAATGTGAGTAAAGATTATGAAAGTACAGAGAATAAGGAATGAATCTACACAGAAGGCAAAAAATGAGTGATGGAGTCAGTTACATTTGAGTCAAAATTTAAAGACTTAGATTTGTTGTAGAATTTTCAGAAGAGAATTTTATGCCAGAAAAACCAGAATTTGAGAAAGTAAAGAATGGAATAAAGTCTGTTATACCTAAGGAATATTAAACAGTTTAATATGGCAGAAGCATTGGAAGCATGGATAGGAGGAGGATATGTGTTAACTAGGGGTTGTGTATGGAATGGATTTAAATGGAAGCAAAGATGGCTTATTTCATTATTATTATTGGCTTTTGTGATGCGATATATATATGCAATATGTATGATAGCTATCAAGTACATACTTGATATATATTGCATATATATATATATATACACAAAAAAACCAATAATAATGATGAAATAAGCCATCTTAGCTTCCATTTAAATATATGTTATTTAAATATACCTATATATGATATTATGTATATGTATGACATATATATATATATATATATATATATATATATATATATATATATGACATATGTGTGTGTATATAAGTGTGTGTGTACATATATACATCACAAGTGCTTGATAATGCATGCTGGGTAGATACAAGTACATGCAAGTATTGATGCCTAAACAGAGTGTCTCATTTTAATCTCAACATCAGTCTTCCTCTTTTATATAACAGGTTATTCATGGCCCTCTAGTCCCCTTTTATAATCCACCAATAATTTTCTGTTCCTATTTCTCCTGTAATCTTTAAATCACATGGAAGTCCATATTTGAAGTTTCTCTTGAATAACTGGAAGAGTGGGAAATTCTGACTGGATTTTTGAAAGGCAGTGATGGCTGGGCACTGAGGAGTGGCTTCTCCCTTTAAGGCCATGTGCTCTTACAGTCCCCATCACAATGCTGCTTTATGACACTGGTCTCTCTAGGGTTAGTTTTCTGTCTTCGCTCTCTTATCTTCAGAATCCGTCATTCACATCTGGCTTCTCCCTGCTCCCATGTCCTACGCAGGTCATTGTGCCCTAGGCAACAGACCTGCCTGGACCAATTTTAAATGTTCAGTCTCGGCAACATCCCATAAGGTAGAGTTGACACATTCACACTCATGATCTGTCACTCACCTAGTGAGGTAGGCGTAGCAGACATAGGAAGTCTTCCCTTTATCTGTAGGTGTTGAACATATGTGGAAACTGAGGCCTGGAAACACTGACATGCAGCTAACCACTCTCGTCTTTTGTCACTTCGTCCCAGGCTGCTTCCTCTAGGACACCAGGTTTCATGTATTTTCATATAACTCAGCTATCACGAAGAAGTCCATTCTCTTCTAGAGCCAAGTCTCACCTCCTCGCCTTCCTCCAGGGTTCCACACATTTTGGGGTTCCTTTTTCTTTTTCACTAACTTGAGGTAGCCTGGAATGAAGAGAATGCAAGTTGTTTTTAGTGGTTTGAACATTTGTCCTCCCCTCCCCCTCCCAAATCCACAAAAGCTGCTGACTCTATGAATTTAGGAGTAGAATTTAGGTCCATAATTATAGTTACGGAATGGAGGAATTTTTAATGTTTTTTATTCCTTTTCCTAGGCTTATCATTTCAAAGTTGAAATCTGAATTCCCAATTCCCTTTTCCAGTATTTTCAGGTGAAAACTACAAATTTATTTATACAGCATGCCTAACAACCCCTTGTAGGATAAGGGAGATCAATTGACATGTTATTTGAGTGTCTTTCAGAATATAATCATACCACATGGCACAGATCCCCAACAGAATCTTTGAATGTTGCCTTTTTAAGACAGACAGGGTTTTGAAACAAGAATTTTTTTTCCCCATCCAGAGGAAAATTTAAGTATTCAGACAAAATCAGCTCAAATACGAATAATGCAAGGGTTTGTCATTTGTGTAGAATAAGAATGGCTCACCTTTTAAAATATCATTATTTATGAATTTGACTTTAGCTGCTCTGTGATCAAATCTTTTTTTTCTAGCCAAATATTTGTGACATGAAAAATGGAATAAAATTTATCACCAATTTGATACTGCCAGAAGTATATTAAGTAGAAAGAGCTGACCTCATTAAATGAAGGGACATCATATTCAGGAATTTAGGTGCAATTCACAGCAGTTCCTTTATCTCATCCTGCTCTTCTTCTCCATGGGGGATTCTGCTTTTCTGTTGAGGAAATCATGGCACCGAATAGACTAAAATAGAAATTAATGCTCTTCGTTCATCATTAAGAACAATGAGAAAATTTGGTGTCCAAACCAAAAATTTATGTCAGATAAAATGATTCAGAGTTTTGCATTTTATAATGTTGGTATTTTTTTGTCAAAGAGTAAAGAAGGGCTGGTGGCGATTTCTTCATCAGAGTGGTGTCAGTGTCCAGAGGAAGCATAAATGTGGAGGTGCTGGAGGGCATAGGGTGACTTCTATTCTCATCCTCTCCTCACCTTCCTACAGTTTTTACTCTCACTTGGAATCTCCCCACAAGTCTTCTGCAGCTGCCAGGAAATCAAGCCAAGCTGTGATATCAAACTGAACCACTCCTGTGCATTGGATGGTAAGTTAGCTCAGGCTGTGGGAAGGAGCCGGGATTCACAGGACAATCCATCAAGAATACGCTGCTGTCTCTCACCTGGCAGCTGCCGGACCCAGGGACTCTGTCCTGTTTCTTGCTGGTTATTACCTGGATGCTCGCCTTAGTTCCTTTGCTATGTGGGCCTCTCCAGCATAATAGTTGGCTTCATCAAAAACATCAAGAGAAAGAGAATCTGCTAGCAAGATGGAAGTGACAATCTTTTTTTTATAACCAAGCCACAGCACCAGCATCCTATGACCGTTGCCACATCCTATTGGTTAGAAGTAGGTGGCCAGGTTGATTCCACACTGAAATGGAGAAAGTCACAGGGCAGTATGAAGGCCAGGAGGTGGGCACCACTGGGGGCCTGTGATGGTTTAGATATTAGGTGTCCCCCAAAAGCTTATATGTGAGACATGTAAGAATAGTGAGAGGTGAAATGATTGGGTTATGAGAGCCTTGACCCAATCAGTGGATTAATCCTCTGATGGTAACTGAAGGTGGGCAGGGTGTGGCTGGAGGAGGTGGGCATTGAGTTGTGCCTTTGGGGTATATACTTTGTATCTGGCAAGTGGAGTCTCTTTCTGCTTCTTGGTGGCCATGTTCTGAGATGCTTTCCTCTACCATGCTTCCTCCATGATGCCCCACCCCACCTCGAGCCCCAAGGAACGGAGCCAGCCTTCTATGGACTGAGACTTCTAAAACTGTGAGCTCCCAAATAAACTTTTCCTCATCTAAAATTGTTTTTGTCAGGTTTTGTGGTCACGGCAGCAAAAAAAATCTGACTAAAACGAGGCATTTTCAAGTTTGCACACAGGTGCAATGCATATTGAATGTCACAGAGCTGAAACGCACACTGAAGGTTTGAGTGAGGAAGTCAATACGAACATTAGACCATTAATGGGGGCACTCGTCACAGTGCTATAAAACCTGGATTTGGATGTCATTTAAGAAAATCCATACTAGCTTTACAAGTTTGGACACATTAATTAGTGTCCTTCTGCTTGGTTCTATCTTTTATGTAGTTTCTAGTCTAGTACTAGTCCCTCACTTACGAGCCACAGAACTTGGTTTTCTCTTGATCTTTCACTCTCAGGCCTGGTGAGAAAGTTAGAGTTGAAATGATCCCCACTTCTAGAGAGATGGACATAGGAAATAGGCCTGATTATTCAAAACCACCCAACCAATTCACAATAGAACATGAGATCCGGTCCAGGTCCATGAGGAGGCCTGTGGGTTTTCTTGAAGCATTAGCAAAGACAAAATCTTTTTCAGTGGGGATGAAGCTCAGAGAATGTAAGCCTGAAGTTGCCTCTGGCCATCTGGTTACTGAGTGGGAAAACCCTGCACAAATGGAATGCTGACATAAGAATTCAGCACTAAGTCCAGTGTGGTGGTGCATACCTAAGATCTCAGTGACTTGGGAGGCTGAGTCAGGAGGATTGTAAGTATGAAGCCTGACAGAGTGACTTAGTGAGAGTCTAACTCAAGATACAAAGGACTGGGGAGGTAGTTCAGTGGTAGAGCACCCTGAGTTCAATCCTCAGTACCTCAAAATAGATAGATAGATAGATAGACAGATGGATAGATAGACAGATGGATAGATATTGAGATACAGAGAAGAGAAAGAGAGAGATTTGGATCCAGCCTTGAGTAAAGTTAAACAACCCTGAACTTTCATCATATGAACCATTACATTTCTGGTCAAGCTTGTTTGAGTTGTATTTTGGGCCAGTGCCTTAGCCGTACACCACCTAAGGCATACCCAAAGCACAACTCACTCTCAACAGGGGTCCACTGACCAAGTTATAAAACAGCAATTTGGGAAAGATTAGCATTAGATCCAAGAGGAAAGAAGTTTGGAATTATTTCCCTCACTAGGTCTTCCTTACCCCTGAAATTCCATGGTTGGCAGTGTCCCAGCACACCTCTTTGAGGCTTCTCCTTTGAACTTGTGTCCTAAATACCCAGGATGGCTTAGGAGGCACTCTCTGTCCATTCATCCCCATTCCTGGCTGGCTGCTGGGTAGGTGGGCTGAGCTTGTAAAACTATCTCTCAGCCACCGGGGGCACAGGAAGTTGGCCCATACAAGTTCCAAAAGAGGGGGAAAAAAATTACCCAGCGTATAAGACCCAGAGCAGGAAGCACAACTAATGAAGGAATGTCCTCAGCTTTCACAGGAAATTATTTTCACTCTGCCTCTATAAAAAGTAACAGATTTGACCCTTTATCCCTCCCCACCTCCTTTTCTACTAGACTCCCAACAGAGGGGACAGGAGAGCAGAGGCCCCGTCGGAGGCAAAGAAAGACAGGCCGCCTTTCATGACCGTGATTGTCAGAAACCACGGGTCACAGCCAGAGGCTGCCAAGAGCAGTTAAGTCTGGGGAGGGGCTGGACTGGACGATTTTGAGTACAGAAATCCATAGCTGCTACGAGTGATTACAGAACAGAGCATCTCTTTCCGATAAGAAACTAGAGACTGGGAATAAAAACCATGTTCAGGCTGATTTTCTCACTCGATTGTGACTCTTTATCAAAGGATGTGAAGTTATTTTGTGTAAATAATTTGACTCTATTTTCACGCTATTTTGGGATTGAAAGGTGAAGAAAGGTGACCGATGTTGTTCCACATTCAGCTGGTGGTCCCGGGCCAAATCTGCTGAAGAATTGGTCCGTCTGCATTTTTCTTTGCAGACCAAGGCCAGATTCTTCTGACTAGCTAGCCCAGAACACAGGCTGCCGTGCACCCGAGGGCAATGGGAGTAGCCTGGAGCCATCATTGCCAAGCAAGGAAAGAACAGGTTCAAGTGGAAGATGGAGCCAAGCAATGATCAAGGTGTCATGATGAGCCAAATGCTCAGGAGATAGGAGGTGACCAATGATCAGTGCACAAGACAGAGGCACTAAAGCGAGGCAGACATTGAGCAGACTGTGACCAACCCAAACCCCGAGGGAACCGTTCATGCCAGTTCATGCCTCTGTGCTTCTCTCAGATCCACGAGACCTCAGGTCCCTTACTTTTGTTTGACACTCTATCTCCAGGGCCTAGCACACTGCTTGGCATGACAATGACTAAATGAGCAAGTAACTACTTCTGACAAAAAAAGATCATATTTAACATTCCATGATCAATATATACTGAATGGATTAGTGTATTTAGAGAGAATATTTAAATCTCCATGATCAAGACAAAGTTACAAAATGTTTTCTAGCACTTTAATAAACAAACTGTTACCCGGGTATGGTAGCACACACCTGTAATCCCAGTAGCTCAGAAGGCTGAAGCAGGAGGATTGAAAGTTGGATCACAACTTTCAAATTGCCAGCCTCAGCTATTTAGCGAGACTCTCATCAACTTAGTGAGGTTCTGTTTCAAAATAAAAAATTAAAATTAAAATTTAAAGTACTAGGGATGTGGCTCAGTGGTTTAGAGCCCCTGGGTTCAGTCCCTGATAACCAAATAAATAAGTAAATAAATAAACCTTTAGCATTAAACATATGATTTGATCATCATAATTCTCCATGTTGGGCAAGCCAAACATTTTATCATTTATTCACTCAGTCAACCCATAAGATTCCTGTTATGGATAGTTTATTAGCAATTTGGTATTCAGGCCTGCGGGAGATGTGATCTACGCCCCTGCTCTCAAAAGCTTGTAACTAAGTGAAGGCTACACACATAATGATCATAAAATATGTTTTTAGACCAATAATTATGATAAAATGTGGCAAACATTAATGGAGAAACCCAGAAATCCTATTAAGTTGTTGAGTACGTTTCCTATGGAAGCCAGAGAAGGTTCACAGGAGTGATGCCAAATTAAAGGTAGAACAGGGATCTGGCAAGTATCCAAAGAAAGGGGAGGCTTCCAGAGAAAGAGCACATGCCAAATGATGCTCCATGCCGTGGCACGGAGCATGCTGTTGGACAGTGGCAGAAGGGGACACAGGGGCCACAGTTGAGGCCAATCATGGAGGGTTGTGAAGCACTGACATTTCAAGCCATGGGAGCCCTGGAAAAATTCTGATAGGTGGTGGGGGGGGGGGGTAAGGTATTCACATTCTCAGTTTATTCCCCTGTTTTCTAGAAGGGTAATCTGACCCAGCTCTCCCAGGTCAGAGGGAGAGTATTAAGGCAGACAAGTTTATGTTGGACTGGAAATGAAATGTCAAATATCTGCTTCCTGCTTGCTGCTTAATCATTAGACACGACTTCTGTCATGTGGAAAAAGAGTTAATTATAATCAGACTGGAAATTCACGTACCTGAAAATCTTTAGAAGGGAAAATGTAGGGGAAGGAACCAGATAGAATAGCAGATACAAAACCATTCTTATCAGTCTGAATCTGTTTTACATTTCATTCCAGACTCTGCAAATTAGCACCAACACAATGAATCTTTGTAAATTAATGAGGGTAACAGCGGGAAAGAATCAATCAGCCACTCTTGTTCCAAAACCTTCCTCCTCAGTAATAACCTGAAATGAACCTTGTAGTCAGGACCCCAGACTAATAGCGTGTTTCGAGTCCTTTGAACAAAACAATTAAATAATCACATTCCTCCTGGTCCAACTTCCTGACTATATTAATTAGATTAAAATACAACTTGTCAGGGTCCCTTGAGGGGAAGGGTTTTCGGGGCCTGTTTTCTCTTGCCCTCCAGCTTCCAATGGCAGCCTGCTTTCATGCAGCAGGAGGCTGTTACCTGGCCAGGTGGCTTCTTTGCCAGCCAGCTGATCTCATTCCTCCTGAACCTGGGTCTTTCACACGTTCTCTCATCAGAAATCCTTCCATGGCGTTCTCTCTCCTTGACTGGACAGATCTACCTACCTGTCCTCACTGTGTTAATGAATCCTCTCTTAAAATGCAGAGGCCAGTTGGTAACTCATCTTGGCTCAACTTCGACATCTCATCCACCCATCCATTCCATTTTTATGAGAGACTGGAGGCTGGTTCTGCTACTGCCTATCTCTGTGCTTTAAGCAAAGTATTTCATTTTCTGTGCTTTAGTTCCTTTGTTTGTAAAATTGGAGAGATAACAAAATTAGTTTTTGTGGCTTCTAAGAGGAATGAATGAGTTCAGTGCTGTGAAGTGGTTCAATTAGCACCTCATTCATTTAATGAGCAACTTCTCTGTGCAGGGTTTGTATGAGAATGGCACCGTTCTTGCTCCAAGTAGTGGAAAATGCAGAAAGTCCTCCTTACTTTGGATTCACTGCAGTGATTGCAAGATGCAATTATCATCCTAAGAGCAGGGAAGCGAGGAGGATCACAGCCAGCCAGGATGCTACTTGCCAAGCCATCTACATGTGCTGACACTCATCTTGCAATGCCCCCCCCCCCCAAGGTCCCTTCACTTAATCTAGGTCTCTGCCAAGTGGCAGGCCTTTCCTGAAGCTCCAGATTTTTTTTTGTTTCCTTTTTCTACATTATTCTGCTTTATAATATGTATCATTACCCACCACTATATTATGTATTTAACTACTGGCTTGCTTTTATCAGTTGCTATCCCAGCCTGATCCCAGGACTATCAGCATCACCTTGGAAACATTTCAGAGAAGCAAATCCTTGGGCCTCGCCCAGACCTAGAGAATCAGGATCACCAGGGGAAGGGGCTCCAGCCACCTGTGATCCAACAATAACCTCTAGGTGATTGGGATTTTCAATCTCAAGAAACACTGGTTTATAATCTGTTTCCATTGGGAAATGAAAACTGCCTTAA